TCTCTGATCCACTACAGCTATTCCTACCTGCAGTTTCCAGGCAATCACTTGATTTCCAGTTGTCCCCTTATCTCCCAGCAGAGGCAGCTACTTAGACACGAAAGCTTTCGCCCTTTGAAAACGGAGTGAACTCATCAGACCTGTGGTGAATTCTTGTGAAGAACGACATGGAGATACATATCTACAGAGCTTTTAAGGATCTGTTGCTCAGTCAGACACCTGGAATCTCACCTCCTTCCTGCCTGAGCAACTGAGCTGCCTCTCCCAGTGAGGAGCAGCTGGTTTGGGCAAGAGACAGCAGTGTCTGGTAGAAGACTGTCGTATTCCCTGCCACAGAAACCATCTCAAGCCTCCCCACCTTCCTTTCCTTTGTCACAGTGTGTGACCATACAACACATTCTGACAGGAAATTATACGCGAGCCTGTAACCCCAAGTAGCTGCCAGATTCCTTTTTGTTTTGAGTAGATGGCAAGACAACAGAGTGCCTGCCATAGATCATGTTGGTGGACTGTCACTACAGGCCCTCAAATGGAAACAGCATGGGAGTTACAGGACGAGTTCCCAGCTTCAGAACTCTCAAAACTTTGATTTATCAGAGCGCAGCAAAAGTCAAGTGAGAGTGAACTGAAATTTCAAGAATCCAGGTGGTATTTTCTGCCTCAAATCCAAACTGGCTTCGTGTTGTGGGAGGTAATGTGGGGACTGCTGAAATGAAGGAATGACCAATAAGTGGTATGGCGTCTGTTTCCACCTATTCCTTCATTATTACCAACAGCATTTTTTCTCCAAACTCCTCAGCCAGTCATCTGCAATATCAAAGAGAAAACTATACGTTGTTCCACTTCTGACAGGGTGATATTCAGACAGCCCATATTTTAACAGGGCTCTGGATTCTGTAGCCCCATGGCATTTGGACTTCCTGTCAGCAGAAATAGATCTCTTTGCACTAAGAATGAACTACAGCAGCACTAGCTCTCCAGGGCATGCAGCATGCAGGGGGACAGCTCTGTTTCTGTACAATAGTAGTCGGTGGTACAGATATGTGTGAACTGAATAATTCAAAGTAATGCCACATTTCTGGCTTGGGACTTTTTATTATTATTGAGTTTCCCACAGTAGATTTTTTTTTTTTAATTGAGCTTGACTGCCTGATCTGTTTACTGGTTAGGATATTTATTTTTCCTGTAGAAAAGAAAAACAATACAAATTTTATGAGAGTGGCATAAGAACAAAGTATGGAAAATCAAAGGAGGATCCTAAAATGAACTCTTCTTGCCTAGAGCAGAAAATATGGCTGCTGTATTCCTAGTGTTCCACACGTGTAGAGAAGTTTTGTTGTTGTGAAATGTTACACATGCTGCAAGTAGGTGCAGGTATCTGTATAACCCCTGCTTTGTCTTACTGGAGCAGGCAGTTATCATCAGTCCTGCAGAGTGTAGCATGGCCCCAAGCCTGCAGACATGTTGGCTGGAAGTCAGCTGCCTAATCACAGCCACCTATGTTGTAATGCCCTCAGGTTTCGTCCCTGATCTGCCGCTGCCTCTCCAAAAAGGCACAGATCTCAAGCACAGCCTGTTTTATATGCTAGTATTGTGCCGAGGTCATGAATACTCAGGATATCTAAAATCACTGTAGACACCTACATTTAAGAAACCGAATATTCACTTGTGCTGTAACCTTAAACTAACGGAACTGCTGAGGCAGCTGCAAGACACGGCCTTTATGTCTTCTAGGGAGGAAGCCTTCCCACCTTCTCAGTTATCTGCACCCTGCTGGCTTTGTGTGGGGAAATATAACTCTATTTAACCATAAAGGAAGAGTTTCCAAATGCATTCATTTGTACGGTCATAACGTTCACAGCAACAAAGACCGACGGCCATTTGGCTGGTGCCATTGGTCACTAGCAGACCTCAGAAGCCCAGGTACTTGGGCAGAGAGAGTTGCAAGACAGCAGCCATGCAGTGAGCGGTCACCACAAAATGCTTGTAACAACCGAGCGCTTCCAGGCTGAGTGACAAAGTGCTATCTAGAACATGAAGCGCAAGGGAAAGGAAACTCCTGCATCTCTGGAGAAGCACAGTTTGCTGACATGCATAGCTGTGAGCCTAGCTCTGTCCCTGGCCCCACTGTTTGCTCCGTCTCAGGCCTCTCAAAGAGTCTCTTTAAATTGGATCTAGAAAACAAGATCCATAAATGCACTGGAGCACTTCTCAGGCATCCAAATGCTATTAAGCAGTCAACAAACCCTCTGTGTAACCCTTAGGTGCTCCACTGTCCCAGTGTCTGCCTATAAAAACCCCTCACTCCCAAGCGCACAGAATGGCTACCGGCAGCTTTGAGGATCCTGCTCTGCCAAATAACTGTTTAAGGTTCATACAGTGTGACATTAGGTTTCTGTAGATGCTGGCTACAGCAGCCCTACTCTGCTCCCACCACCTCATCTGGGGAGAGCTGCATTCATGGTTTTTTTAATGCAAAAAGTGAATAAAACTGTCTCTGTTGGTCTCCCTGGCATCGCTCTACTTCCATGGTCCCTGAGGGGCCCAATCTCAGCAAAGAAAAGAAGGGCAGGAGATGACTGCAAGGCCTCTGGCCAGTAAAATCATTCTAAGTCTTCTGTGCCTAGATTTGAAGAGCTTTTAAATCCAGGAAGACTCACAAAATGCAATTTGGCCTTTGCAGTATTTCAAGAATGAGCCATAAAACTAACACCCTGGACCAGTTCTAGTCCCCATCACATGAATTTTCTCATGTGCCAGTAACTCTAATGTAAGGTAATCAAGTGAAGAGGGTTCCATACTGAAATTACTAAAGAAAGGAACTTCTTTCATGCCAGACTGTAAACAAAGCTTGGGGGAACAGTTTAAATCCTGGAAGGAGAAAATTCTCAGTTATGCTGAGTAGCTCATATCTCAAGAGTCTGTTTTCAATCATAACCTCTACAACCCAGATTCACAGCTCATGCTTTACTACTTGAACAGCAGTTGCCAACTGGATGGAAACCTAACTTGGTATTTTCCAGTTGATGGGAAAGTTTTCTGAAGGATATTTGCTGGAGCAGCATGACAGCTTTGCACAATTCTTCCTAGAAATGAAACATAAACATCACTGCCTCCATTAAGTGCACTCACTTGCTCTAGACAACCAATGAGGTTGATACCAATACCTTCCTAAATCCTCACAGACCATATGGCAGGGCAGAAAAGCTAACTGTCAAGAGCAGCAATTTTCTGGAATGTCTAGTATGAAATGGGGAGGTTGGTGGCCCTGCATGTGGCAGGAGGGTTGGAGATTCATGATCCTTGAGGTCCCTTCCAACCCTGGCCATTCTGTGTTTCTGTGATTCTGTGAATGGCAAAACAGTTGTGTTACCCACCAGCGTTGAGTCTGCTACTTGCCCCCTGTGCTTGAATTGGTCCCCACACCCACCAACCACCTTCTGACTCTCCCCAGAGTCAGGAGTTGGAAGTAAAACATCCAGCAGTGTTGGTGGGCTCCTGCTGCTGCTGCAAGGGTACGGCATGAGCCAGCATGTTTTACAAGACAAAGCTCCTTTCTTCTGAGCCTTGATGTGGCAATAAACAGTTTTGTTCACATCACTGAGAAGGTTTGAGCTAGTTCTGCCTGGCGCTTTTTATGGAGTCTCTTTGGCACAGCTGATTGCACAAACAGGTCCAGATACTCCTGGCATTGATATTTTGGGAGGGGAGGGAGGGGATAATAATGTGACTCTTCAAAGATAGAAATTAAAGATATATCACTGCCATTCCCCTTAGGATTTCATTCTCATCAGTGAGCAGCAGCGCCTAATTCCAAAACAAAGTGAATCTAATTTCATTTTGTGCTTCAGTGCAAGCTGTCATGCAGTGCTTTTAATTGGCACCAAATGAGACAAGATCTTGGAAATAGGGTTTGACTGAACATTGAAGTGTGGAAGGAAGAGATCCTCCTTTTCAGCTGCAATATCATATACTGCATGCTCATCCTAGATAAAGGTGTGACCTGTCGGAGAGCAGAGGAGACAGAAAACATCCTCTGTTTCTCTCCTGTTGTGCTGCTATAGCTCACAATGTGATACACAGAACAGGTAGCTGTTTTCTCCACAGCAACTGATGAATTCTATTGAGGGGATTCCTCTGCACAGTGAGTCATGAAGAGGCAAAGTCATTTGTTTGCCATAAACGTCCCAAGACAATTGAGATTTGGATCTAGCAGTTCAGCGGATGGGACATACACTGTGCTACCTCTGAGCTATTTCACAGTTTGCTATGATTGAATGACGTGAAGCAGAGAAATGATTTTTGCAAAGTTGAAAATTGGTCAGATAAGCTTGGAGAGTGCACTGCAATCAGTAGTGCTCCTACTGTCTAGTTGTAGATATTCAAACACTGAAGAACAGGAGAGTTCCTGGTCCATCTGAGTAATGTCTTCCTTGTCACGGGTGAGAAGACAGGAGAAAAGTAGCTTTCCCCAGCTTCATTTTTTTTTATTACCAACATGAGTAAAGTCTACCAGATTCTCCTGGCTCTCTGATCAGGTCTGATGCGTTTGGGTGTGATGACAGTAAGCAATAGTTTTGATCGCAGCATTATTTGTCCTGTAAATACAGCTGTGCTTTGTACTTGCTTAGCGAGAATTTCTACAAGGAAAGCAAACCTCTGCCGGTTCAAAGTAAAAACAGTTTCTCTCCTTGATCATCCTTCAGAGATGCAACTAGAAAGAGCAAAGAGCTCTCCTGGTCTTGTCTCGTTCTGCCAAATCACAGCCCCAGTGATCACAGGACTTGTTCCTGGATGCCCCTTGCACAGTGACAGGTCAGAAGAAGGAAAGAAGCAGGCGTCTGGGTTTGAGAAAGCAACCTGCAGCTTGCAAAAGTCTGGCCAACAGCACTGAAATTCCACACTGACTTCCACAGAGGTGAAGAAGTGCTTCAATCCTAATCAAAGCACTGCTGAGTTTGCTATTAAAAACACCCCAAAGCAGCTGTGAGTTATGCCCAATAAGTTTAATAATTGGTAAAACCATTGCAAATGACAACTACAGAATACAAAGCAGACGCAAAAAAATGACCGCATAAAAGTGAGAAAGGAGTAACATCTGTGATGAAAAATAAAGTAAAATACACTTAACAGGATACAGATTCAGATATAACACACACGGTCACATACAACACCGCATCAGTAACAGCACACACAAATACTCATTCTACTGGGGCTTTCCAGCTCTCCACTTCATCCCAGGTGACAAGTAAATGGATGTTTTTACTCTCTTACATAAATTCTTGTGCACACAACATCATCAGCACCAAAGGTCTGGAAAAGAAAAAGAAATCAATCAGAACAAATGGAACCAGTAAACACTTAACATCATTTTTAAAGTTACTTTTACTATAGTAGATCTACAGCAGAAATACAATTTCCTATGTCTTTTGACAGATGAAACTGAAGAAAGGAATCATTTTGGACAAGAAGTGCACTGCAGGTGACCTCTTTTCCCAGACACCATGAATTTTGTCAGAATGATAAATGACTCAGAAATTCCCTCCTTCTATAGTTTCTTGGCATGCATTTATAAATAAACATGAGAAAAGAAAAAGAATTTGGAATGTACTGCTGTTATAGTTAGAAACAATTGCAACACTTTGAACTGGAAATGCTGGGGGTGCAGTCAGACTGGATGGCATGTTAGAAAGGTATTCTTTGATATCTGCAGGTGTAAATCAGAGTAGTTCAAATGAAGCCACTGAAGCAACAATGGTGAGTGTGTAAGAACAACCTGTGAGCATAATGCTGCTGCAAGATGTTGGCACACCATGCTTGGCTACTGGAACCTTCTCTCCCAAGATGTAACGTGGGCTGCGTCAATCACAGCCTCCTTCCAGGATACACTGATTTAACCAGTGAATTAGTTAGCTAGGTAGGGGTCTGAAATGAGGGCATATAATGGACAAAAATGTAGTGGAGATGGAACTCATTTCACGTGACAAAAACTGTGAAATCTCACAAATGCTTGATCACTGCACATCTGAGAATTGTTGACTTAATGCAGACTGTGTGTCATTACCATTGGAGCAGGGGCTAATTTACTCTCTACAGGGACCAGCAGCAGAACCCAAGGGAACGGCATAAAGCTGCAACAGGGGAGGGTCAGGTTGGGGATCAGGAACAGGACAGTCAGGCACTGAGCAGGCTGCCCAGGGCAGCAGTCATGGCACCCAGCTTGCCAGAATTCAGGAAGTGTCTGTTTAATGCTGTCAGACACATGGACTGATTTTTGAGTGGTCCTGTGAGGAGCCAGGAGTTGGACTCAGTGATCCTTATAGGTCCCTTCCAACTTGGGACATTCGCTGATTCTATGATCATCCTGTTTCTCACGGCAGATTCAGTGCCTCAGCATACTTGGATTTTCCACTTACTAGAGTTGGTACTGTGCCGTGCAGTATGAACAGAAACAGAGTTTTAGATATGCATCTGAAAGCCTGTGTTGTCTTTTTTTTCATTCTGCAGTACTGCACTTAGAAGACAATTCTACAGCAGTCATATTGCAGTACGATTATTAGGACATTAAGGCACGACAGAGATTGTGGCAGCTGCCTCAGAAAGCCACCTAAACACAAGATCATTTTGTGTAGCTTTGTGTCTTTAGGCTAAAATCAAAGCAAGCAATTACAAATAAAGGAAATAAGTGTCCAAGAATGAGGAAATACTGCCTGCAAAAGAGCTACAAGCACACTGCATGCTCAGCTACACTGACATCGCCAGCTCCAAGCTCACTGCTAACAAGCTGCGAGATGGGATGCTTGGCTGTAAGAACTGCCAATGTCTCACTGAAAAATATAATTAAGACCTACCCCAGAGTGTTATGAAAATTCAGCTGGACATTATTTGTTTTTATGCTCCCTATGCTTGCTTTGGCCAATATTTCTTCACAAGGATTTGGCTTGGAAACTGCCTCTGGCACATATTTTATTCACTTTACTGAGGAAAAAAGCCTTGTAGTATTTTGGATGGAGAGAAATAACAAAGATGCAGGCTTTGTTTCCATGCGTAAAAAGAGCTGATCATATTAATCTTCATATACATTTTTAACTTCTACATGAAAATGTCTGAAAACAAACACTAAAGGATGCAGCAGTGCCCTCATGCCCACAGCAGCAGCTGCAAACACCCTCACTTTGGCTTCCTCTGGCATCTCCAAAATTATACACAAATGTACAATTACTTTAGCAGGAGCTTTCCTGGAGACAGGCGGTCAGAATCAAGACCATACAGAGCTTGAGATTTTGTGTAGACTAGAAAGTCACTGGCAGTCATTGCCTTCCTGTGCTACAATCAGGCACTGCTAAGCATAGTGAAGTTTGGGTCCTCACTGCTCTTATTTCCATGCTGGAGTGCATAAAGAAATGGTTGTGATTGTCATTGTTATGTACGTGGTTTTAATGTAAAAGGAGTTTCCCTCTCTTAATGTAACTTGCAAGCATTGTTGTTAAAACTCCATGTTGCTAAGCCATGCAAAGAGGAACACATTCAAACTTGCTGCATTCCTTTTCTTGTGGTTAATCACAGAAAAGTCTAATGAACAGCTGGGCCCAAGTGCAGGGGAAGATCAGAAACAAAAGGCTGTTGTTCTTACATCCTTCACACTTACATCCTTCTATCAGGGGTAAGCTTAGTATTTATGTGTCCAACTCTAGAGTGGAATGAAGCACTAGCTCCTGTCAGAACAAGCAGACTTTACGGACTTCCATGACTGAAAAGATCAGAACTTCATATGATAAGCAGAGAGGGTAATCCTGGCTAATTGGTGGTGAAATTTCATCAGATCAGCTCAAAGGAGTGCAGCAATACCAAGCTAAATTCCAAACTAATGAGAAGATGCAGGATTTTCAAACACCGTACTCCCATCAGATTGCAAAGAACCCACTAATCTTACAAAATGCTACAAGGCTTCTATCTAAATCTAAAACAGGATTTTAAATGTGCAATTTACAGAGGATTGTAAATTACAGAAGAGTTTTCTTCACTTAGCTTGTCATAATTTGTGGCTAAAAGAGTCCAAAAGGGCACTGCAAAGAAAGTGCTGCACAAGGGGATAATCCAACAGATTCATCTATTCCAGTTCACTCGAGATTTCATGAGTGCTGACATCATTAGAGACTAACTGAAAATGACAGGGCAGTATATATTATTGTACGAGTCCATCTGCTTTGTAAAGGCCTTCTTTTCAAACATGTCTTGCGGAACCTTTGTGATACGTGGAGCAGACAGTACCACCAGGAAAACTGTCACTGAAGCAATAGCCTGGGAAAGATCACTTCTGCCTGGGTGTGTGCAAAAATCCCCTTCTCTGCTCATGACTGACCAGTCTGCAGAGCCACCTCTTACAAACAGAGAGGGAATACATCAGCAAATAAATGGAGAAGATGCTACATGAGTGAACAGCACTTTCCATTCCCAGAAAAGGCCTTGCACGTGCAGACTTCCGTGTGTACACTCACAGAGGCAACACTCCCTAACAAGATGAAGGTATCTATAAATCACTAGATGATGACACTTCATCCACAATGACAAACTAACGTTATGCAGCATAAAAATATAAATCTTCACAAGAAAGCCATATCATATATTTCCTTTCTCCTCTGAGTGCCATAGTCTTTCAAGGAGATTGATTGTTTTGGGAACAGTCACAGAAGATGCAGCCCTCATTTTCAAACTCGGATGCTACTAACAAGCTTACCCAACATACAACTTCACTTTCTGCAGGACAAAACTATGCAAAATCAGGTCATTCATCAAGGTATCTGTATTTGAGAACTGCTGTATTATACAGCTGCCTCGGAGTAGTGCAGCAAATGAATGGCAGAGACAAGAACATAGTCTTTTAAGCCAGTTCCCAGCAACCGCTGAAGCTGCAGCTGATATTATACGAGCCATCCACAGGGTCAGATGCATCCACCATATAGAAGGCTTTGGCTTCTTTCTCTGCTTCATGTTTGGGACATGCCTCAGATCAAGCTGTACTGGTGAGCAAGGGCTGCAAGTCTACAAGTTCCCCTTTTAAATCTCCTCAGGGTAAATACTAAAATGAAGCACTAGGTAAATGCAACACACATGTGTGCACGATCACAGCTCTCAGAACTTTTATCAAGGCTGCTTTTAGCGAGGTCAGCAGCAAAAACCCCCAGTGACCTCCATGAGGTGTCCCTCCTTTTGATAACTGATTGTGTTTAAGATAATTCTTCCAGAACTTTAAAAAACAGTTTAAACTACTTAGGGAGTTGAACATTGTTTGATATAAGGCTTAGGCACATCACAAATCTCACCATTCAGCTGAAAAATATATTTCCCAATCTGCACTTCTCACCTGCTATGTTTAACTTTAGAATCCAGCAACATCATTTAATAATGTTCACTCACTCATCTAAACTCCATAGTTCACCACTTTTAATCAAGGAAGGAAAAGGAGAACACAAACCATGCTTGAACTCCCCCTAATGTGCTGATCTTTGACCCTTGCTATAATTGATTCTGAGAACCCCTGTGTGATACATGAACTGTGTCAAATGTGGTCTAAGGCTGTTTTTAAAGATCCTCTTCAGTAACCATCCACTTAAAATGTTTGTGTTATAGGTTAAATTAAAATCTGCAGAGGCATGAGCAGCTATGAAAGCACTGAGGCAGATAGAGTAAAAATATAGAAATGTTTCTCATTTGAGCAGCTAGCATTCAGAAGCAGCATCCTTTAAGCTTGTAAGAGCAGACCTTTTGTTCTGACTTACACAAGTGATTGATTGCTCATTAGTGTCCTTGATTAAAACACACAGCAAGAGCAAAAATATTAATGACTATAAAGGAAAAGGGAGGGAAAAAGATGTTAGAATAGCCTAAATCCCAGATCTTACTTTTCAGACAGGCAAATGAAATACATACTTTTGTGTTAGATTCCAGTCTTGATTGCCCAAGTGCTAATTCAAGTTGCTTCTGAGTTGAGTGGTAAACAAGGATACCTCTGCTTTATAGACCTGACGTCCAATAATATGACACAGTCACAACAAGCAAATCTGGACTTTGATCTTTATCATCCTCCTTTGCCTGAATATTCCTTTTTTAACCTGGATTATTTGCTACTTCTAAAAATGCAGCACTGCCATCCTGGCATGTGCATCAGATGAGATTATCATTAACATCACTGATGAAAGCAGTTGGAATGTTCTTGTACATTTGCAGCACCTTTTTTATAAAGCAGGGCTTGGTCATAAATCCCTCACTCTGCTAACAGGACTCTTCCAGTGGGACTTTAGCTCTATGCCTCCCATAATACAAGCCAAGTATTATTTATGCTACCAATAAGAGTCATCTCATTCCCCATTCTGCAAGCAGTTCAGGAGAAGTAAAGATGAACATAACTGGCACCTGAAATTAAAGGAAACTTTTGCTAACTGAATAGTTTGTTCCCAGCATCATGTATCAGAGGGCATCATGTGCCATGAAAGACCACCGTACTGCTTCAGGGGAATATCTTTGAAGAACACAAGAAAAATCTTCTGACAAAATCCAGAAAAGACTGGTAATTATATAGTAATAAGGTTTCTGTTTTAGATCTATGATAGTCATAACAATTCAACAATGATTTGTTTGTTTTTTTTTTTTAATATGTGATAATAAATGCATTTTACTGAACATGCTGCGTTGAAAAGAAAAGCACATCCACTTGGCAAATGTCATAATCTAATGATCCCCCTAAGCCATGTAGCACATTAGATTAAAAATTATGCAGCAAAGCACCAAGATTTATGCAGCTACTATTAGCAGAGTGAAACCCATTCCTCACTCCTTACCTATTGCCTCAAGCCTATTTTCCATTAATGCCTGAGAAGTCTAACACAGCTTAGATTCCTTACTGCAACTTTTTGCACACAGAAGATGAGTTTTATTGATTTCTTCTGCAAATGCATTAATAGCTAGGAAGGAGAATGATGACTTGTTGAAAGAATTCTTTGGCTGGAGAAGCAGGAGCAGAGGGTGTGAAAAGTATCAGCTTTACAGAGTTCTTAAACTGCTACATCACAGGGTCTCCCCATAAAGGATGAGAAAAAATTTCTTAGGTAAGTAAGAAGGTTTGAGAAGAGTGAAGATGGGAACTGTTAAATATTTGAATTGATGCAGGGAGCAAAACTACATGAGTGTGAATTTTGGGCCCTAAGGATCCCTAAAATAGCTGGGATGATCAAGGGAGAAAGGGGGGGGGGGGAGACAGTGACATCCCATTGTGATATCAGTTTGGAAGAAGCAAGACACAACGAGTCTATAGACTCATACACAAGGACGATTTTTAAGCATGAGATAAAATAATCTAAATTAAAGCCTGGAGAGATGATGAATGCAAACACAGTTGAGAAGCAAAAGCTCGAAAGGGATCCCCAAATTTCCCACTAAGAGCTCCTATTCCTACTTTGCTCCCCATCAGAGTCAAGAGGTGCACCTCATGCAAACCCTTTGAGTAGTTTAGCCTTTAAAGAGAATGATCTAGGTGGAACATTCCAGGCTTCTAAAATTAGGGGCTACAGGAAAGAGAACTCGAGCTTCCTTTACTCCCTTCTGCCTTCCTTCAAACACAAAGCCTCCCACATGGATTCACCTTGGCGAACTTCTCCAAACGAAGCAGAGACCTCACACTCACTACAATTACTCTTTGGAACACCTCAGTACTGAGCTTCAGGGTGTCAGAACATTTTGAACATCCTGACTCATATGTTTAAAAGATTTTGATGCTAGGGACTTGAAATTTTATGTCTTGAGAACCAAGTATTGGCCTAATATTTAACAAAGCAAAATAGGCCATTATGCTTTAGAAAGGAGGCAGAAGACTGGAACTGCATACCATATTAAATAGTGAAAAACAGGGGGGATGATCTCGACCACTTGGAAGCAAATACTATGTTTTCACAATGGCCACAGTAAAATCCTACCAAAACATAATCCCAGTTTGCAGGCAAGGAGAAAGGGATCAGCCCAGGGAATCAAAAGCCAGGAAAATTACCTGGGATCACGATCAGCAGAACATGAGTTTCCAAAAGTTAATTAAGAAAGTCTTCAGGTAAGAGCGGGGAGATGAAGTTGTTACTGCATCAGGTATGACTGATAGCAGAACAGCATGTGTGATTCTGGCATCCATAGGTTAGAAAGGAAATAAATTAGAAGGGCTTATAGAAGCACTAAAAGAATGATTCAAAAATAACTTGTTTGATGTTGAAGGGCTTGAGGGATTTGCCTAGCAAAAGGAAGGTTCTTCTAAGAGGTGGCTTCATCAGTATTTGCAAAAATAAATGTTAGGAATGTTGTTTAGATTCTTCAATGTACATAATACACAATGGCAGAAAGTTGAATATAGACATATGCAGATTAGAAAGAATGCGTACATTTCAGTGGCAATGAAGAGAACCAGTAAAAATCACTTCTCAGAAGTTGTTAGTGGTCCTATAACTGAAAATACTAATAAGGAGGAGTTTTTTTCTAATGCACATCCTGATCTGAAAAAGAATTAATTCAGAAAAGCTCAACAGACTGATTATGCAGGAGGAAAAAAAAAAAGCTAGATGGCTTTGGAATCTTTGTACTGCTCTGCTTTCTCAACCAGCCTCACCCTTCTACCCCAGCTGGGTGCGTTCATGTTGCTGACTCCTGGAGGGAAATGTGTTCTGATTGCCTTTCCTGCTTTGCTTTGAACTGCTTTTTTTGCTTGAACTTTCCTTAACAGCTGCCCCACAGTTTATTGTTAAAGTAATAAACTACAAAAATGTATTAGAAAGCTGGAAAAATTGAAGTTGAGAATTCATTTTATTCGGTACGTTCTATATAAAGATGAAGCAGAAATCAAAGTACTTTGCCTCCTTAACTTTGGGATGATATAAAGGATGTCAGTGATTAATTCAAAATAAATGATCCAGAATTACAGTATTCTTTCAGCAAAAACCAGTTCCACTTTGTTACCAGCAGCTTACTCTTTCTCATAAGGGGTGGATAAACAGTTCCAAGAAGTCGGGGCTAACAGTAATACTTTAAAAGCTTTCTATTTATACTTGGCTAGGTTTGGGTCCTGTTTTTGTTTCATATGCACTATTAAAAACAGAGCTCCAACTGCTTTAGAGAAGCGTTTGGGAGGCTGTTTGTTTTTTAAATTGCAGGAGTTTAATTAGTCTGATAGTCTGAAATAAAAACTCCCTGTTTGATGTTTTTTTACTTGTTGCTCCAGCAGCATCTCTTCCATGCCCAAACCAATGAGGCACAACAGCTCAGCCAACTGATTTATCCAGAATTCACTTGAAAGAACATGCAAAATAAAAGATTCTGAACTTGAGCTGAACTGTGTTACATGTAACTCTGAAAAATGGTGTCTATATTCAGTTCTGGATGTCATTTAATTAATGCATGTGGATGGATTCCTAGGGAAATATACATTAGAGCGAACTCAACTCTAACAGAAGTACAATATAAATAAAGAAACTGCTCATGATTCATGGCATGAATGGAGAGGCAGTTGCAGAGGTGCTACTGCAAATGCTTGAAGTAACCCTGCTGCCATATGGAAGGTCACAAAGGAGTGGGGGGATGTTGGCTGACAGCAAATGTGCAATCATGCATATCTGCAGCAAACTCACGGGGCAGCTCTGAACTGGATTGAGAGATGGTCAAGGAGTAGGGGGTTGTGGCAGAGATTGGGAAGGAATTGTGGTTCTTCATAAACAGAATGAGATTAGAGCATACCAACAACATGCCACATGTCTCCTATACACCATGTGCCTGTGTATGAGAAGCAGCACATTAAACACATGCTTATAAAAAGAAGGTTCTCCAGAAATGAGGTCAAATGCTTTGATCTCTCTCTCACCAGAGAAAATCTGCAATAAATCAAACAAATTCTTTGGTGTTACTGTGGACGTAGAGAGCAGGAGTGGCCCACTTATGATTATTCTACCAGTGAAAACATGGTGAAAGATACAGCAATAAAATGCAAGTGAGAACCTGCATAAATTTGCATTTTTTCTTAAAGAAAAAAAAATACAAAAAAGAAAAAAGATTTGATGTGTGAATTGTACTGCAGAGAATTATGAAAATGGCAGTTTTTCCAGATAGATTTAAGAAAAGGAGTAAGCCATGCTACATAGCAACAAAAAGCTGTTAACACGGTGCACGCAATGGTTGGGTTAGAGGTTCTTACCAAAATCAGCTCATCATTAGCTAATTCTCGAGTCCAGTATGTTTTAGGACCATCTCCCTCAATAAGAGTTTGTTTGCAATAGATCTTGTTTTCATTCTCCCAAGTGGCCAAACTCTGCAGGCAAGAAAACCATTAGGAATAGCATTAATTATATTCTCCAGCAGCATGAAGCAGAGAGGCAACAATGAGCAGTAGTGAGAATAACTGCTGTAAAGGAGTAGAACACAGATAAAGGCAAAGGGAAACGGGCCAGTGGAAAGTGATGAAATCAAAATTAAGTTGTAAGGTTGTATTGTAATAAGTATATAATAGCAAAGTAATTGTAGATGTGTCTTTTCAGTGTAAATCAGCACTTGTTTCCAAACTCAAAAGCCGTTCTCCTGAATCGCTTGATGCTGAAAACCATTGTTTAGAAACATGATAATACAGAGCCCACATTGCCAAATACCTTGGCACACTGGTTTGATGTGACATATTACTTGTCCCTACGAAGTCCCCTTAGAGTAAAAGCATCAAGAATACTGTGTATCATTTTGTGGTGATAAATAATGCAGCCTTTGCCATTATAACCTTCCGTGCTGTGTGGCACCGAGCCAAGTTAACTGTATGTTAAGCAGATATTGCACTAACGACCCAGGATAAATCACAGCTACAGCTCCATTACAGGAACTTGGTTAGAATTCCAGTGTTTGTGGTATTTCTTTTTTAAGGCTCTAGGTCTGCTGATTGAAAATACCCTCGGGCGTTTTTCAAAGCATCTGAATAATGATTATGAAACCACAGAAAAACAAGTTAAGAAAATATAGGGTTTTGTTTAGCTTTCACAAATAGGCAAGCCCTGACTTTCTGTTGCTTTTCAGTCTAGCGCTGAACTATTATTCTGTGGGGCAATGGAACAGCTGTGCAGAAGGATGCCCTTAATGAATGTGTGAGTAATTGCTTTACAACTAGCACATGGGAGACGTTCATTAGTCCATGATTATATACAAACATGTGTGCACATATGCATGCATAAAATGGAGTTAACACTTCCCAGACGCTCTGAGGGGGAAAACATTAAAAAAAACCCTTTCCTTTGATCTAAAATTAGCTGTTCACCTTATATATTTATTCCAAACCAGCAGGTTTTTAAGCCAACAAGCCTCCTCAAGTGGCAGTTATAGAAGCTATGCCGTTCAGTGAACTGCACTGGACTCCTCTTTGTTTTATGAACAATGGATCAAGTTAGTTGGCAGAACAAAACCCTCCAGCCCATGAAGTGTATCACAGCCTATCACCAGTTAGCAATTTTTCCAGGTATTGCAAATTATATTCTGAAGTATCATTTTATTATTTGTCAATTTCTGCTCCATGGCCACATCTTGGCCATATAAATCCAACAGTACAACTAATTCCTGAGTCTGGACTATAAATAATTTCACAACACATGGAAAAAATTTACTACTTCACAAAACACATTTCTTTCAGACTTTTCTAACCTGCAAAGCTTACAGCCATAATTATTGTTTTTCCATCTGCAGCAATAAATCCTCCTCTAGAAAGCAGGTCACATTTATTGTGTATGAATTATACATGAAAAAACTACTTTTGCTGAGCAAGACAAATTAACAGCCAGCAACATTTCCTGAACAAACTGTAAAATATATGATAACTCACCCTGGAGACGAAGGGGGTTGATTTAAGAATTCACCATCTTCCAATATCTGCCTCTCTTCGTCAAAACTTTAAATTCACAACAACTGCACTGAAGATATTAAGTTTACTCTGATTTTTTAATTGTTCAAACAGTCTCAGAAGCTGGCCCAAGAATCAGCAGAGATGATAGCTTAGCTAATAGGCTGTTGCACCACCACAGGCTATCATAAAAACCATATTCTTTATTTGGGACATTTCTGCTCTTTACTCACACACCTTTCTGAGGCAATCTTATAAATGTCAGTGAGTCAAGTACTTGGGTAAAGGATTACATACTCATCATTGTTAACTTTTTTTGAAAGTCAGCACTTATCAGAGCCTAGTTCTCCAGTACCCTCAATCCCACGTACCTACATCAGCAAGAAGCCAGGATCAGATCCTGCTGACTTAACAATATGATATCCCCTCCACAGCCATTGAAGAGGCTTACAAAGGGTAGAGGAGCAGGGGCTTACACAGAGAATCAAACCCCAAACACTCCCTCTGATGCACTTCTGTATAAGGAGACGCTGTAACTGTGGCTGGTGTGACTGTCTGGAAGTGTGTCCTACATTGCTACCCAACCAGCAATCTGAAAACATGAATTTGCAAAGGAATTACAGATAATTTCAGCCCCAAATAACCAATGTGAACCGTTTGTGAAGTTGTCCAACTGATTTTTGGAAAATGGTTATGCCACGTTTGTGCACTAAATCCTGACTCTTGAGGTGTCTCTCACTCCAGTGCTCCCCATGTCCACACTGAGGAGGGGGAGCAGGAAGAGCCTTCACTGTGGGTGAGGTCTTTAAGAGAGATGGAGGTAAAGAGAGCTGGACAAAGCCCTGGCAGGCAGGGAGCTGGCAAGCAGATACTCAGCTATGCCCTCAACACCTGTCATGCTCCGTTACCTTCAGATTTCAGCTTTGCTCTGTCCTGCATGCCAGAGAATGTTAGGTGAGGTGAGCTGCAATCACCAAGACGCCCCCTCAGCGTTTCTAGGAGGAAGAAGGTGGAGGACAGCAGATGCATTAATCCTATCTAAGAGGAGTTTGGTACGGAAGCTGGGCAGACACAGTGGCTCTCGGGGCCGGGGCAGCAGGTCTGCACCTCTCAGCGTTCACACACACACACACACAGACACACACAGACACCGTACACACAGCTCTCCTCTTACCCTGCATTTTCGGCCATCCACCGTCTCCTCCTCGAAGCTCTCCCCGATTTTGAAGTTGATCTCCGTGGTGCGGACAGTGGTGGAAGTTTTGATGTAGAACTGGTCCCCGTCCTGGCGGATCTCCACGTGGGGTTTGGAGGCGGCCGCCACCGCCACCTTCCTGAGCATGGCGTTGACACCTGGGCGAAGAGGGGAGGAAGCAGAGCTTGAGTTCGCCAGCTCGCCCAGCACCGGTCCGGCTCGGGGCGGGGGGCCGAAAGGCAGCGCCGCAGCCCCGCACGGAGAAGCCGCGGCTCCGGGCAGAGCGGTGCGGCAGATCCCCGGGCAGGGCCGCCGGCTCTCGCAGGTGACACCGCCCCGCGATCCCCGGGCACCTTCCCCGCGCCGCAGCCCCGAGCCTTCCCGGCCGGCACCGGGCACCGCACTGCTCCGGCCACCCGATTCCCTTCCATCGCTTCGTCGCCCCAGCCCGCCCGCCAGCCCCGAGCTCACCCAGCGCTTTAAGGAGCTCGTCGAAATTCTCGCTGCTCCTCATCTTCCAGGTGCCGGCGAAGTTGGGCATGGCGGGGTGGGCGGCGAGGACGCGGCGCTGCTGCTCGCTCTGCGGCTCGGGCACCGTGTGAGCGGGGCGGACCGCGGCTGCGGAGGGGAACGCGGGTCACACCCACCAGCCCCCAGCCGGCCCCCAGCCCTTCCCCCGGGAGCGGCGCACGCCGCCAGGCTGCCGTCCCCCCTCCCAGCCTTCCGTCTGTCCGTCCTCGCAGCCCCCCATCCATCCATCCATCCATCCATCCATCCATCCATCCATCCATCCATCCATCCATCCATCCATCCATCCATCCATTACTCTCTGCTCCGCAGACCTCCTGGGGCCGCCCAATTGCCACTCGACCAGCCGCTGGGCGCCAAGGACTCGATGACAGAGCACAGAGGCAGCCGGGGGAAAACGGAGAGCGACGCAAATGGAAGAGGAGTCTGGGGGCTCAGGGTGCATCGCTCACAGCCTCGCTGGGCCGAGGCGCGGAAGCACGCCATCACACCCTGTGCCCGAGCTGTCCGGGCACACCTGTGTCACCTCTGGAACCCGGGGCGAGCGCGACCCCAGCACCACTAACGCGGACGGCTCCACCAAAGAGGTGCGGGCGGGGGCACGGCCTTACGCGGGGCAGGCGGCTGGAGCCGTGCCCGCACCGATCCGAGCCGGAGTAGGGCGAAGGACAGCGGCACGTGCAAAGCCCGTACGCTTCTGTAGTCACAGCCACGCTCCTGCATCGCTCGGCTGCAGGTAGAGGATAGAGCCGAGGGGCTGCCAGGCGTTCCACCTGCATCCCGAGGAGCAGGGCCCGTCCTGGTCATAGCGGTTCATGGAGAAGCACACCAAGCCTCGTCTCGCTGATGTAAATAAACATCAGCATGTGCAGCTGTGAGCACCCATCTGCACCTCGCTGCATTTTCACGATCGGTTCCACTGCTTGGAACCCCCCAGTTTCAGGCCAGAGGTGCTGGACTGATGTTCCTCACTGTAGCTGATTTAATCCATATGATCAAGAGGAACAGGATTTGATGGGTTGAGACACATGGACTAGTTCTGCTGCTATTGTGCATAAGGAAATACTCCAAGATTTGGAGGGCGGTGATGTCCCGCTCAGAACAGAGGCAGATGTATTTTAATGATAGGAAGCCCTTTGCTGAGCTGGCTCCATGCTACATGCGCAGCCATTCGTCACTTGTTTCACTCGCTCTATGAAACAACAAGCTGGTTCCTTGAGGTATGTCTGAAACGTGTTCACCCCTGGAAAATGTGCAGATCCGGGACTTACTGCAGCCATCTGGCAGGAAGAGTTCTGCAGTTTCTATAGAGTGAAATTTGCTCTCATTTTCCACCCCAGGAAAAGCTTTTCTCCAGTACGGCGGAACTGTAGGGCAGAACCAAATATTTCTCTGTTGGCAGTTACTCTTTTTCTACTGAATTTTTTCCTCTGTCTTTTTAGGACACCCTGGAGACCTGGCACAGCTCTGTATCTGACATATTCTGACGGAAAATGTATTTTATTCCAAGAAATGAAAATTCTGATGGGAAATATCTGTTTTCAATATCAGTTTCCTCTAGAAAAAAAAAAAAAAAGAAAAAACCCAAACCAAATCCAGTCACAAAACATTTCTTGTTTTGTAGTAAATGAGATTCTCTATCTGAAATAATTTGTTTAAAGATTTCCAGTCACCTTAAAATTAAAACAAAATTAAACGCACCCACCCCAAAAAAAGAAATGCAAAAAGCAAAAACCAAAAACACACAAGACTCACAATTGCCAGTAATAGTAATACCAAAAATACCAGGAAAAAAAATATCAGAAAGTAGTCAGAGAAATGATATGTCCATGGCAGGTGGGCTCAAATCTTACGAACAAAAAGCTGCAGGCCCAATGAGCCGGCACCAAATCCGTGTATTGCCACAAAGCAGTGCTGAAGCCCCCTGCAGAGTGCCTCAGTTTCAGCTTGCCAGTTACACCACTGAAAGCATACTGCCATAATCCAGGCTTGCCTCCAGAATCCCACAAATAAGTACACGTGGACCCCAGTGGAAGCAACACAGCACCTGCAGGACAGAGATATAATAATAATAATAATAATAATAAGCAAGTGCAGCAAAACTGAGTGGGAACCATCTATGTCTACCTAAGAAAATAAATTGGCCCAGAAGATTTGAAGGGGAGCATTTTGGTCTTTAAAGGATCACTTAATTTCCACTACTGCTCTCCGTTTGCTGCACTGCTGGTCTGAACAAGGAGGATTCCAGGAGACGTTGGCTGTGAAGGTGTTTCTAAGAGGTAGGACCAGTTGTCAAGGTGTTGGGCTGTGGCCACTGACCTGCCTCATGCCGGCCAGGAGACAACCTCCAGAATACCCTTCATTTAGAAAGTGTAGCAAGCTAGAAGGAGCAAGAGCCTGCAGGGGCAAAGGCTCTCTTCTGCAACGTCAGCACATTGAGCACATGGAGCTCAAATACATCTAAGTCAAACTACATTTCTGTTAAGTTTATGATCTTGTCTAAAGACTGTGAGTTACCAACTCATCTATACAGTACATTCTTGAGTGTCTACCTGGTGTTGTCTGACAATATGCACATGTTCACACCTTATTACACATAGAGCAGCTTTCCTTCTAATGCTACAGACTGGGCTCAGCAGCTCTTTAGAATTAGGCCCCAAAATTCAAGCACGCACAGAATTGTGCCTCTGAGACTCAGGATCACTGTTGCAAGCACAGGCTGGAGGCAGGACCATGTATTTCCAGAGCAAATGTTTTCATTGTCACCAAAAGTTCTTCATATACATGAAGTAATTGAATTAATCACCTACATTCTTCCACGTTATCCTTCCTGCATGCACCTTCTCTCTCTTTTTATATAGTTTGTTTTCCCATTGTATTTCACAAATATTCCCTCATTTTTCTGCGTTTACCAGTTCATTTAAAAAGTCAGCAGGAGTTGAACTGCGATCTCATAAAGAGCCTCACTTCACTCCAACAGAACTTTAAGAGCAGAACAACTCTTACATTCCAGGTCCTTAAGACACTGAACTTTCAGTGAGTAAAACACATAGGATTTTTTTTCTTTTCAGTTTTCCACTGTATGAAAATATTGGGATTGTAATCCCACTGCATCGTGGTATACGAATCCTCTCTTAGTCTGATATGGCAACAGAAAGACATATTTTAAATTGCAATAAATTTCAAATGGCTTATGTACCAGTTACACCAACTAATTACGCATATAATAAGAATATTCAAGTCAGTAAGGGGTGAGATTCTATTTTGCTCTGATCATATCAGTTAGATCAATGCTGTTAGGTTATTATTATTTTCAAAGGAGAAAAAAGAGACAAGGAAAAAATATGAAAAGAAGCATAAAGGAAGTCAAGAGAAAGGAAAAAAATAGAGGGGTGGTGCAAGAGCCACAGCAAGTATAGTTAGAATAAGAAAAGAGGAGACGGAATAGGAATTCTGATTAGCTTACTTCACACCTTGGATCACACAAATGAAGAGCAGAGAACATCACCATGTCAGAAATAACTCAAATCTGTACCACCATGAAGTGAGGGTAGCTCCACTAAGATCTGAAAGCTATTCTAATTTACACAGCTGGGAATACTGTCCGTGGACTTCAGCCCTCATCATGGATTCTTATCCAACAGCAGCAGATACGTATCAGGTCATGCTGAAGTAACCAAACTAAATGGTAGTTACACTTTTCTTTCAAGCCCCTTCTTTATGTAATTTCCTCATTTATACTATGGAAAACAGTTTGATTTCCAAAACACCCCTGTCAGCAGTTTTTTCCTCTTGGCGTTTATTTTATTCACCTGAATCCCCCAAGGCTGATCTTCCCCTGCAGATGGACCTAATTAATCTCTCCAACAGTGTCACTAAGACAAAAGAAAGTAATATATGTACAGATGGGACCAGGGCACTTCATCATCCATCCAAATAAGTGACCAGTAATGTGACCAAAACTATCCCCTTGAGGTTATTGACTGACCACTGTGAAGCCATACAAGGCTCAGGGTAAACAATAAATTTTATTTACTAAGGTGGTACCCCAAAAAAAGAATGGCTTAAAGAAGGGTATAATAAATTATTTCTGACATGAATAAATTATACAACTGGAAGGCAAATTGCCATCGTAAATTTATCTGCCAAATTAATTTACCATGGACCTCCAGCATGACAAAGGGTGAAATGTAATACGAATGTATTCAGTGGTGTCTTGTATTTTCTACTGCACTCTCATTAACAGTTGAAAGAATACCCGCTAATTCCAAGCTGAAATGCTCTTGAGATTTCAGACTGCTTCAAATGATGTTTTGGGGATGCTCCTGTCCAGACAAGAACATCCACTGCAAAAAAGATTATGAAGATCTCTTTAAGCAGTAAAGTCATTATTACCTGCTCACAGGCAACCTAAGGAAGACTAGGCTAGTGGAGCAGAGGGTCAGAGGCTGCTGTGAGTGGCAGCTTTTTGCACAGGCTGATGTACAGGAGTGCTCTGAAGCCCCAGTCTGTCTCCTGGGCTCACCAGGTGGGGTCATACTGCTCTGATGACTCTCTAAGAAAGAAAATCAAGCCTTCTTCAAATCAAGTAAGGTTCTGCATGTGTGCACCACAGTCAGGAACAAGGTTGCTGTTCCCTTTTTTAAATAAAAAGTCATACGGTGTTTCAAATAGAAGCCTCTGAATGTGCTCTTGAGTCAGGAAATAGGTAGAGATACTGATAAGGTCACTCTGAAAATCCAGCCTCCCTGTTGAGCTGTGTTGAGGTTCTGTCCATATGTGGCCACAGAAATAACTGAGCAAGGATAGGGAAGTGAGAGCAGTGCTCTGCACGTTACGTAGCCTTGATGTATTTCAGCTTGTGACACTGTTGGTTTGGTGGTTAGACTGCAAATATCCCCATCATCACTAATGCTGAGAAGTTGTTTTCTCATGAAGAAGTCATCATGGCATTAGAAATCGGTGATGTTCACAGGGGCTTTCAGAAGCCCTGTAGTTCTCTTTTGCTTAACAAAAGGTATTAGTAAAGCTGTAGCTGTCAATATAAAAGCAATCAAACTGCGTCAATTCCTCTCTAAAGAAGACTCAGGTCTATTAAGATTTAGTCAGGCAGATGGACCAAACTGATGCATGGATTACGTTAGATATTGGAGTCTCTTAAAGGATCTTTGTCTCTGGGGATAGAGGACCATGTTATTCTTTATCTGACTGTCTAGAAGAAGAATGAGTGAATTCAAAGGAGCATATTTCCATTTAGGTCTGGACTGAACTCCCAACAGGGCCATGTCCTGAAGCTATAGAGGCCCTAACATTTGCACAATCCCAGATTTTACTCTGGTGCTCTGACCTTTGGGTGTATGTTAAATTCAAAAGCTTTTTACTACATCTGGCAGACAAAAATAAAGAAAAAAGAAATTAGCATTCCACGTAAATTAGAACCAGGAAACAGGAATCTCATCTGTTAATTCAATTTAGAATTCCAAATGTGTTATCAAAAGTTTTCCATCAGCCTACCTCAAAACAGTCATAAGTCTAAGGGTTTGGAGTAATCCCTACCAGCACAAGGAGCCGTTCCAGTGAAGATACATCAGTTTATGTCAGAAGACATGGTCCAGTAAGATGTAAGCTATAGGTGTTGTAACTTGTATCCATCTTCCCCTCATCTTTGTTTTGCACTGCTAAACTTTGCTTAGAAAACAACCTTGAGTACTACTGCTCCTTCCATTGTTAACCCTCTGACCTTCTAAACTAAGATCATTTGCTCTTTCTAATTCAGGAGGTTTCTGGGGCTTATTAACTAAACAGGCCAACTAAACTGTTCCCAACTGAAACCAGCATCACTGACAAGGAGGTCATTGTTTCCCAGGCTTCCTCTCTAGCAGTAGATCTGTGGATTTCAGACTGAAAAGGAATAATGCAGACATTCTTTGTCTACACATTATCTGGGGAGCATCAAGATAACTCGAGCCACTTCCTCATCATTAAAGACTTGAAGGGTCATCTCCAGGGACCCAGGTGGTTACAGCCAGTTTTAAAACCTGGATGCTGATATTTGTAGGAAACTGTACGAGGTACCTAAATTAAAGAAGCTGTCTTCACAATTAATAATCGTTTAAGCTTGCAGTGATTGCAGTGGAAGAGTGCTTAGCACATGGCTGAATAGCAGTGCTTTTATTTACAAGTCTCACTATGCACTTAAAAGACCAGCTGAATGCAATCACATTTGCACATATTCTTTAGGTAAGACATAGCAAGTCTGACGTTCTGAGTGGTTGTGGCCACATTTGCACATGATGAACAAAGTTCTTAAAAGATGCTGTATTCAGACTTGAAAAATCATGGATTCTAACATGTAAACTTACAGTGGTGCTTGTGAAGAAATACCTGGTTTTGAAAATTCTTTCAATTTTCTTTAGGGAAGACACAGCAAGTCTGATGTTCTGAGTGGTTGTGAGGGTTGAGAGATCTTTTCACTGGAAAACCAGAAATTCTAGCTGAGATAAAGACCTTGCTGCAAGGGGTTTCAGACTTTTAGGAACAGCAGGCGTATTTGTGCTAAAAGATTACATGAATGTCAAAATAAGTCGCTTTCAATAGAATGTGCCTCATGTTTCTTGAGAATCCCTTCCTCAAAAGAGTCCACTCACAATCTAAGAAATCTCCATCCTGCATGCCTCAAAATATCTTTGTACCCCTCTTACTTTTAAGATAATGGGAGTAAATTTACTGGAGTATGAAAGAGACTGTAGTTTCCATGAGCACCACCTAGTGCAGAGCATGGCTCGTGCAACATGCAGCCTCTTCCATCTGCATCACAGATGCATTCAATCTTCAGCAGTTTCCTATGGGCAACATCCATCAATAATGTTAAATGGAAAAAACATGGGAGGAGGACACATATTTTGTCCTTCATTTGTAATCTCGAGGTATGAACCCCCAAAGTAGGAGTTACTGTAATTGCAGAGGTAGCACAACTAAATTCAGGGGGATGCTTTCATAAAAGCTGACACCCAACCAATACAGAGATTATTAACGATATTAAAGGGGCACAGCGTTAAAGGGAATTGCTGAACTTTGAACTCAGCTGTGCTGATGTAACCTCTCTTTTTCTGGGCAGAGAGGACAGAAAAAGAGGACACAAAGAAGTTGCAAGAATGCAAATTTAAGCTCCTAAGTCATTTAGTTTCTTTCAAATGTTTCAGCTTTTATTTTAGTATAATGCTGCCTCTCCTTGCAAAATAGACCAACATCTTTGCAGTTCATAAATCTAAACAACAAGCCTTAACCACAGATCTCAGAACAAAAAGTTGAAATCTTCCCTTTTACCATTAATTGTTGTGTCAGTGAACAAAGAGCATTCTCCTCATCTGAACTCAGTATCTGCCACCAATGTCAGATGGCTACGGCTTTCCAACTCATGCAAAGTGATACTTTTTTAATATAAAAAAGGCATTATTCTATCACATAGACTGTGACCAGGCATATGAAGTTTATAAAATGAGAACTGGCATTATATGAACACTTCAAAAATACCAAACTAAGTCTACATCAGAATATGTTCAATAATTCAGTGTAAACAGACTATATCATAAAACAAAACACTTTTTTTTTCCAACTAGGTATTGTTTTTAAATATTGCATTCAAAAAGCACTCCAAGGATTAAGGGCCCCGTTACGCCAGGTGCTATGGATCTAATTGCCTACTTTTCTTCACTCATTAATAATTGTGAATGATATTTTCTTGGCACAAATAAATCAATGTAAATATCTGGGCTACAAACCTAAGCAGAATTTCTAAAGAGAAATGTAGCCTACATGCCAGGGACATAACTCACCACAGTTGGAAACGAGCAAATAGAAGTGTATTAATTCTGATTTTCCTTAATGAGCCATGACAGAAAGTCACTAAGCTGAACCTAACTTTCTTTAATGAGAGGAGTTCTGCCCATAGTATCACCGATTTTGAATGGACACCTCTCATGTGTTTTTCTGGTTTCTGAAATTATGTGGTCTAAATTCATTGTGGCATGAGTAATGGTAACAAAAACAGGCTTGGACTGAGCAAAATACAGAGAGACTTCCTTCCAGAAGAAAGAAGTGCTCCAGAAGCAAGATAGCTAGGGAGGCTGGCTGTGATCTAAAATAAAAGGAAATAGATAGTAAAGATCAGGGCAGCAGACCACGTTCAGGAGCTTGTTGTGCTTCAAAAGTCTGAACTCACTGTCTGTTAAGAAAAAAATAAGCGTGGCTGAGAAATCCAGCAACTCAGTGGCCAGATTACTGACGCTGAAGGTTTGACTGGAACCAATGATCTTTCAGCAGGAAAGGTTCTGGAGAAAAATATATCAAAGCACTTGACTCACCAAGGACTTCTGTGGACTGTGAGAGAAGTGTGGCACAGCACTATGGCAATTGATCTGTGAGATGACAAGTAACACTGGTGCCAGATGTATGAGCCGCATCTGCACATGAAAAACCAAGAGGAAAAAGCATTGATCAGTGGAAGGAACTAAGAACAGGACCAGCTTCAGCATTTTGATTCAGCCACAGGGAATGGCAATCTCTTGGTGAGGGGCTCATGGCTGGATTGTGACGGCAGCAACAAATATTTTTACTACTGTTATTTGTGTGAGAGATTTGCTGATGATTTCAAGATATCATAGTTCCAGAAACAGCATTTGCCTTTGGGAAATAGACTAAGCACAGCTTAACAAGGAAACATTTACACTGAGCTATTATGGATGTAAAAAAACAAGATTAACCATGCTTTTTAAGGTAAACTGTGTATAAGCTCCTGACTTGCTGCTGTTGAAACAGACCTTCACTCTGCTGATTTATTTATTGCTTAAGAAAGACATTGCCTGCAGCTGTGATTAGACAGAATATACTTTCACGGTGATCTCTAATGCACTTCCCATGTTTTTAGTCTAATGACTGTGACAGACTGGTTTGCTGCTGGCTACAGATTTCAAATGTTGTTTTGTCTGACAGTTCCAAAGGGCTTAGTTGTACCAAACACACATGCAGCATGTAGCGTGACACTGACTTTATCCCACAGCTCTAATTGCTTGCGGTTGGTAGAAAGCCCATAAATATAGGCAATGTACTACTGGCATAAGCCATCATCTCACACAGTGAAAATGATTCAAATAGTCCTTTCAGCTAGCACACATTCAAATGGAGTCCCCAAGCTTGGAAAAGGCTAGGCAAAGAAAGAAGTGTAGTATGTAACCAGTTATCCTGTATCAAGGGAACAGCTCTGTACAGTCAGCTCTGAAGTGTCACTCCTTCCTGTGGACCCTGTGACATTAGTTATATCTGACAAGAAGAGTAGGTAGGCACCATGCTAAATATGACACAGTCTCAAAATATCAAGAAAAAAGAGATAGGAGCAGAAAGGAGAAGTGACACACTGAAAATACAAATAGGCAACAGAGTATGTATGTGGAACTCATTGAAGCAGGCATGTTTCCTGAAGCAGCAATCCAGAGTGCATACAGAACCTGGAACTTCATCCTCAGGACGGACCTTGGCTCTTACCAATAACCTCCATTAGTAAGTTGGGGGGGAAAGAAAAAAAAAGAATCCACACCATGCTCTCACCATTGTAAAGATGTACCAAAAGTGAAAGGTAAATAACAGTAGGTAAGGCAGCTGGAACTCATACAGCCCTAATAAAACATATTGACACTCCTGAACATTGTATCCAGAAGGCCATTTACTGCTGCTCATCAAATGCCCAATAGCAGCAGGCCAACACTGATTGCAGTACATTAAAATTGTTTGTTTACCAGCCTTGTGCACAAGTAGCAACAAAAGAGAGGTCGTTCACTTGTGACATCACTGCTTGTTTTGGAGCAGCTCTGCTCGATTGACTGTTCATTGTCTGTACGTAGCACGTGGTGTGGTAAGAGATGAGACTGTGAGGACAGCACTGTGTGCATGTGCAGAAAGATGATGGGAATGGTAGAACTTAATTTACAAGCTCTCAGGCACACAAGCCAACTATTGGAGTTGTAAGTTCTTGGCTTTTCTCCCAGGCTAAGTGGTTCACTCACAGGATAAAAGTTGATCTTGGAATTTTATCAGAAGAATATAAAGAAAATTCACTTCCCCTAATCTTAAACATAGAAAGAATGGTAGGAATTTATGCTTTAAAAATGAAATAAGCTGAATAATATGTTTACGTGAGACCAATATATAATTTAAAGGAAGAGACAAATCATATCTGTCTGATTTTCTAACAAATTCCTGGAAGTGTAAAGAATTGCAGTAAATACATTCCTTTAACATACTTTTCAACTTCTTTATTCTGTGGGTTGTAGCATCCAGTATATTGACATTTTCTTCAAATTCTTTTTGGAACCAGCTCTGCTCTGCTGGCTGCAGTTTGGAGATGAAAGGGAAAACTTGTAGGTTTTAACCAGGACTGTACACTGCCCCTATGATCATCCATAAGCACGCAGTAACAGTGTCACAGCATTTAACTTAAACATTCCAATCTTATTTCCTTACTAAAGCTACAATGTAAAGAAGATAATTTTCAGAAGTAAGAAGTCACAGACCTGCAGGAAGAATCCACGCAGCACCTATTTCTGTGTTCATCTTATTCCTTGAAATTGGTATGGTCTTTTGCCAGCTCCATCTCACCAGGAGGGAATATTTACAGCGATGGCATGACAGACAGCTCAGATGTTCAAGTGAGATGCCAGACTTGGAACTTTGTCGTAGAGAAAAACAAGCAACCACCAGAAATGAAATTGTAAGAATCCTTGGGATATCCCCAGCTGGGCAGGAAAGCACACTGAGAGCAAGTCTGTGGGTCAGGAACAAAAAATAAAGGGGACTAATGCACCTGCCCAGTTCCAGAGGAACACCAGCGGTGTAGAGCACTGCAGGGGCAACGTGGCAGAAATAGATTTCCACTGCAAATGCTAATATGTTCTGCTGCTTTAGGAAATCATTGTTTGTTTTTCATCACTTCAGACAGTTCTAGAGATCTCCCATGAGAACAGATGCTGCTGTATTGATGGCTAAGGACTTACCAGTCAAAATGCACGTTCCTTTCAATATACACTTCTGTACACAGCACCTCCTCACCATTTTCCCCACAAGAAACAGAACTGTGCAGTCCTACATAACTAGAATAATCATACTTTATCTACAAGATTGATTCCACTGTTAAGCAAGCTTTAATAAAAGGCAGGGTTTTACCTGGAGCATTATGAAAATTGAGCAATTTGACATATTAAAACTATGTGAAAGCTTTCTAAATTAGCTCGTGATGCAGTATTGTAGTTGTCACCGGCTATGAGTTATTTGATTATGCAAATTACCCGCAGTTTATTACCCCAGTTATATTAAGGGAGGAGCTGAGGGATGTTACAGCAGTCAGGGTGTCCATGCACTGGCATCTGTTTACTTGTAATGCATGTTAACACGTCAATGCATCTGTTCTTGTTATTCTTTCAGGAAGACACTGATTTTGAAGTCAAGCCAACATTTCATCTGGAGATTATTTATTATCCAGTAATAATCTGGGAAAGATTCTCCTACCCTTTCTCAGAATGGATCGTAGGCAAACTTTCAAGTCTGCCCACTGAAACCAACTAGAATACTCCAGCAGTAACACAGTGCTGTGTGTGACAAAAGAGAAGCCAACTTTGGCACTCGATTGTTGCTACTGTGATTATTGCAGAACCTGTTACACGAGTGACAGATGACAAAAGGGCCAGAGCTCTTAGCTATTAGCTTCCTACAGTGTGTTAGCTATAAAGGTCTTTGGAGTTAAGTATGAGTTAATTGTCTTCCCATGATAAAGATGTGAAACAGAAGAGTCTGGGCAAATGAGTCAGAAGAATGGTTATAAGCAAAAGCAAATCATCAAGGCAGAAAAATGAATATTGTAGTAGCTTAATTAGACTCCACAAGCTTTAGAGACAGGTGTATAATTATGATCCTGATGATGATTGCTCCCCTCTGTCACTGCAGGTCCCATAGAGCAAGGTGCAGCCATGTAATGGGTAGCAGAGAGCTCTGCTCCTGTGCATTCTTCCCTCTGTCTTCCCCCCCATCTCTCCTCTCCAGCTGAACACACTCAAGTGTTGGTTCCCTGGGGCTCAGTGCTTGCACATTCTGTTCAGCTTGTCTCCTCTTGTCTCAGACAAGTGACCTGCACCAGCTAGACCTCACCACAGAGAAGCAGGTAGAAGGAAGACAGCAGCAGCAGTCTCAGGAAGTTCAGATCCGCTTTACTAATCAAAGCAGTCCAACGAGGCTTACAGCAATTTGCTGGAAAGTCAGCCACCAAAACACTTGGAAGGACCTGAGACTGTTTTCTCAAGAGATTTAATTCCTCCAAGGGCAGAGCCTCTCTTCAGTGCCTCACACCTCCTGCTTGGAAACATCAGAACGCTGGGCAGCTGTCACATCAGATTTTGTCACAGTGCCCTAATGCAGGAAGACTGGAAAGTGACCCAATTCATGCTTAAAAAAAAAAGGAAGCAACAATAAAAAGAATTTGTGCAGACACCAGTACGTAGATGGCAAAGCAGATTGTCTTCACCCAGCAAGTTGAGATCTTTTTAAAGGAGATCAATTGTGAAATCCTTACAGACTCACTGTACAACAAATGGATTCCGTCCTGCTTTTGGAGGAAATCTAGCTCTTAAATTCAATATATCGCTTGCTAAACGCAATCAAAAAGCCTTCCGCGTCAGTCTTAGGCAATATGTTCCGCTGAAACCCGTAATTACAATCTGCTTCTCTTTAAATTAGCACCTTACCAGCAATGCTACAACATTTCCATTAACACGTGCAACAAGCCCAGGAGCATCCCTTCTCCAGAACAGCAGCTGGTCTCGCTGTGATTTGCTCAGGGGAGACTTGTATGCACACAGCATAACTGCCCAAGGCAGATGCTGTCACTTCCACAGTTAGGCTGAACATGACTACGTTCCAGCTTTCCAGGACTAAAGGTTTCAAAGCCAGTCTGCAGTTCACATGAAATGGCCTTTTCAGCTTTTGTGCACCACCCCCCATTTTATGCATGTTACTCCCTTCCCTGGAAGCTGAAACCCGGCACAGAAGGCAGCGTGCAGAAACAGCAGGTGAGTGATGTTTGATTTTTTTGAAATATCCCAGCTGTATTTATGGTGGCTCTAGCACTTCAAATAATGATCTTTCAATCACTGCCAGTACCCAAAACGTGATCTAGGATTAGTAAATGAGAGCTAATGACTGCACTTGGCTAAATTTGTATTGCAAGGGCCTAAAAGATCACCTTCTTCATTCCTGACTGCAGAAGTTGGGGTCAGTTGGCAAACATTTTCCTGGCTGAGGTGTTGTTACAGAAATGCTGTACATCCCTCCATTAAGAAACACTGAGAGCTGTAGCTAGCTGGGTCACAAGCCAAACACAGCTCAGCACAGCAGCACAGACTTGCAACTTTCAAATAAATGC